CCATAGACAACCATTTTACTCTCTTTTTTATTCAGTGTTTCATAAATTTGCTAAATTTTTCTACGTCTATTTAGGCAAACATACGTTTTAATTGCAATGGGATTTTAATTCAATATAGGAATCGCGAGTGGTAACTTACACCTGCCAATACAATGGTATTGATGCTGCATCAAATACTGTCCGTGTTAAAGGCCTAGGAGCAGACTCTATCTTTGTTAAAAGCGTAAGTTATATCATAATTTCATTTCGTAATATTTCCTTAACTAGCTTGTTATTTCATTTTGCCTGGTATATAACTGTAAGGAAGGATATGATTTACTGTTGATGAATCTCAATCGATCGAATCCACTTTTATAGCTGTGTTGTAAAGCTAGCCAGTGTCTCCCACTGCCCATAATACAGTTTTATAAGCAATCATACACTTACACTACAAGCATTTCAATTGAGCCATTTTACACCATGATTGATCGATCTTGGCCGATTGACTTTACTGTAGTTATGCATCACTAAGCTTTTCTATACGCTTGCGGAAAGTTCCAACAGTTACGTCATTATTGTACAACCTCTGAAAATAAGTCGCTACTTTGTTCAATATTTCCTATGATTATATATAATTAAACTCTGTTAATAGGTTATCTTTATATCATTGCGGCTAGCTTCACCAGATTATGCCTTAGTAGTTTCATTGAATAACTCTCGCTGTTGTTGTCCTGATTTTACTGTCTTCGCTAGAACTTGACATCGAACTATTCAAATACTTGAACAATTTATTTAGGCGTATAACGAGGTTTATCGATCTATCGTTGCGATACAATCATAAAAAAAAGTTTTAACATCAATTGACACGTAATGTAGAAAATTTCTCTAAGATAGCTACTTGTTCACCGCCAAGTCTACGCTAACTCATTGTAAGTTATTATTGCTACTGAGTTCAAAATTAGAATACTTAATCATTTAACAGGATGTGAACTACAAGGCCAAGAATAGTCGAAAGCCTTTTTTGTTTGGTTATCATAATCACACCATTAACCTAACTATCGAGTAATTGCTTGTTTTCTTTTCTTAACAATGATTCTGCCAAGCAAGTTTGATTCATTTGATTAGCATTACAGATCAATCCAATTTCGATTTTATCTAATAGTACAATAATGTTGAAACCCTATTACAATTAGCTTTTACGCTTTATTTCCAAACTTTTTTATCGTTCATAGCGCAGCATCAGTCGATATGATCTTACAATCTTCTAATAATCGACAGCTTAATTTGAGTATAACTAGTATATCCCTCGCTCTTTATACTTTGCGTAGTATCTCCTTCTTAATTCATTTCAGTCAAGTCGATCAAGTTGTTATCATTCTTTATTCGTACGCGATAGCTATTAACTATACGAGTTATAAATAGTAATCTCTACTATATCTGAGGCTGTAACATACAAAAACTAGACAAGTTGATTTAAATAAAGAATTCGTACAAGAAATGAGTTTAATCACTTCACTTCACGTCACAAGCAATTAGCTATTACGTCCATATTGACAAGCTGGAAGTGCTTTTGGTTAACACTTATCCATATTGTGATCATCATCAATTTTGGATCAGAATAGTCATTCCAATGAGCCCTACTTCGATTGTATTACTTATTTATTAGTCTCATTTAGTATTATCGATTACGAACGGTATACTTAACGGTAAAGTATTAAAGACGAACTTCTACTTTCACTTGTAAACACCACTGCGATATGAGAATCTTTTATTTCTCGTCTATCCAATTTATTTCTCCATTGTGGAAAAATAATTAATAAGGAAGGAGCTGATCAACCTTAGCTGGAGTCGGTTATTATGTTGCTAAGATCAGGGAGGATCAGCCAAGATGCTGCTGTAAAGTATACGCTAGTCTACTGTGCTCTATCACGTATGGAATAAAATGGCCTTGTACTCAACGCCTATAGCTGTGCCGTACTATCAAAATGGAAAGTAATGGATAGTACCCTTGTTTAGTATAAACTCAAAGCCCTGTATCGGTACCATATGCAATACAGTATGAACTAAAAGTCGACGATGATGACTCTCACAAAGTCTCCATGTCCTTCATTGGGTAGCCACCATTTCAGCCGAAATATAGAGAGCTTGAAAGCAATTTTGACTGCCTTCAAGGCAAATGGGCTTACTAGTAAATGACCTAATTATCATATCCTTGTGTTCTGTGGGTACAAGGCAGTGGAATGAATCGATAGTACGCAAAAAAAAAACTTCAATTTTCGCCAATGCTCGCATGAATCTGCGCAGTTAATTAATCGTAAATTATATATATCATATTCACAACAGTAACAGAATAGGCGTTCAATAGGGAATGATGCTGATGACTTAGAGGATGTTACAGCTGTTACACCGACTAATTTAGTGCTAACGCCCCCATTTGATTTAGTTCCTAGCACCAAGGAATGCGAAGAGGTACTAACAGGTGCCTCCAAACTGTGTTTCGTACAAGGACCAATTACTATTTATTTATATTAGCTGAATTACATAATATAAATAGAAAGAATGACATTATCAAGAAAATAATACTCAATAGACGGATCTTAGCTAATAAGGAATATAATTATTCTCTCGTAATCTTAATTATACTAGTAAATCAAATTGGAAACATTACTCCAACGGATGATAGCCATTCCAGATCTGAGTTTAGCCTTAATGCCAAGTTATTCATTTTATTCAAGTATATGTAAATAACTGTAAGTTTATTATTTATTCAGGTACTTGAATTTTTTAAAACACGAATAAGTCATCAGTATCCTCTAGATACTTCATCTATGGACCAGTTAGAAGTAATACGTGAAGCACACGAGGTAACGATTAGTTTCGAATACTCATACATGTATCTTGTAACACTCATAATTTGATCAGTGTTTCAGCTGTAAATTAGAAAGTATTGCTATGAGCGTGTTTGTCCTTTTGGTTTTTTTAAGTAAAGTAAAATTGACGGGTTAACATATAAATTAACTTTCAGTTAATTTAATCTGAACTTCTAACTTAATTAAAAATAGTTTTAAATAATTAATGCATATCATACTTATATATGGTAATTCTTTGATAAGTCAACGATAGAAATTGAATTCTAAGTGGTATGATATTCTACTAAAGCGGTAGAATTGAATTGTACTAGTCCATAAAATTATTGTGTTTTATGGATAACTTTTCAACATACTGTGTCTATTTACAAGCCAATATAAGTTCTTACATTTGTTTTTAATAGACTTTCCTCAATTCTCGTTCCTCCAGCGTTTTGGGCCGAGATGAAATCTTAGATCAAGTACGTGACAGTAGTAACAGCATAATTCCAAAAAATTGAGTGCACCACGTTTGCCACTATAACCATTATCAATTAATTACTTTGTTGGATATACGTATCATACATTAGCATATACAGTAAATGATTACATTTATTTTTAGGATATGAGATTCAATACATGAAGGATATTTACAGTGTCAATATTTACAGTATTTTGAAATCTTATTCTTGTTGCAATATAGATCCAAGATTTTATTCGTTCGGAAAGCACTTGTGTCCCTATGGTAGTTGTTGGTGTAGCAGGAGCTGGAAAAAGTGCAATTATCGCTAGAAGTGCTGCCACAACTGTAAATAAAGCACAAAACTACGATATACCTGGGTACTATAGATTCCTCCATCAATGCATAATATTAATTAATGTTTGTTTTCCTCTAGCTTATACTTAAAACTTAGAAGGCTTATGCAGTATCTGTCCATTAGTATGCCACAGTACTTCGATATTGTTTTCTTTTGCGTTGAATTAATTTATTAGCTCCATTTCTAATACTAGCAATTGATGATATACACGATGTTAGCACGTTTATTACGTATTGATGATTTGATTGCTTTGCTAACGCACAGCGGTGGTAACAAGGGTTGGAATGTCTTCTATCATTTTATTGGGGCTGCGCCAGGATCTACTGACCTCGGTTTTACATTACAACGAATGCTGAAGGAATTGAAATATGTAGTAAGTTGATCATTACTCGCTGTTGAACTAGTAATCGCAAAGTACTGGAATTGAAGCTAGGGGTTCATGTAATAACCCCCCACTCTCCGGCTGTTGTGGTCTATGTTTTAAATTTTTACTTATTTTGTAGGGAGAAATTCCTGCTGATACAGAATCGCTGGTACGCCTTTCAAATATCACTCTCAGCAATCCTAAACTTGAACCTACTATTCTTTTCTTCGATGCTTTGAATCAGGTGCAATATTAAGATGTAATAGTGTCTATGCTTTATAAGATTGCCGTACTTGCAAGACATGCTATAACTAACAATCTGTAATGAATTGTCCAATATTGCTTCTACATAGCTCGATAAAACTAAGGAATCTGAGCAAGTTAGCTGGATGCCATTTAAATTATCACCTAATGTAAGAGTCATTTGTTCTGTAATCAACGGCACACCATGTCACCATAGTCTAGCAGGGCGATTAAATCCTCCTAAAGAGGTATTATGTGGGCCACTGGATCTAGATAGTAGAAGGGTATGTTGATCCTACTGAATTCCTATGCCTCCATTTTTATTGCTTCGCTAATTCATTTGCAAGATAACTGAAAAAATTATTAATGGTTGCAATGGTTACAATAAAACATTGCTTTGCATTCATGTAAAAATGTATAGGAAATTGTAGATGAAGTTTTAACGAAATTCAATAAAAGATTAGACGCCGTACAAATGGATTCTCTACTATCTAAAGAAGCGTCAGCGAATCCTTTGTGGCTGTCAATTGCTTGTGAAGAACTGCGGGTATTCGGTTTATTTAGTAAAGTAACAGAAATGATCAAAGGGCTAGCTGACGGATTATTAGAGTAAGTCTGGACATCATACTGTATATTTGGCTCTTTAATTTTCAATTTAATGTTAATTTCAATATTGTATATGAATTCGATCTTGGAAATAAAATTATTACCATGGAAAGTATTTATAATAATCATTTTTATTTCTTTCAGATTATTAGAGCAAGTTTTAACACGCTTCGAAGAGGAAAGTGGTGGACATTTAATGGTTGCAACCTTGTGCTTTCTGGAATGTTCGCGTCATGGATTACTAGAAAGAGAGTTACTTGAATTACTTGGAGAAGATGAAACGCTGAGACCTCCTAGTGAAAAAGATTTTACTGAGAAAGGTCCTGACGCGGCACAAGAGATTTCGAAAAGGGAAAATAGTGATAAAGATACTGCATTAGCGAATGATTTATCGAAAAAGCTGCATGTTACCGTGGAAGAGACTTACCGTAAAACTGACTTTGACAAGAAATTTGATGACGAATTTGATATAGATGGTTTGCTTATGATTCATTTCTTGCATCTGAAATAGAATAAATTTTGTGATTTACTCCGTATTGTTATTTACTTAATGCTGGGTGTATAATCTTTATTACAGATATTGAAGATAAAAATGAAGCAAAATCGTCACGATCAAAGCGACCCCCACCACTCCCTGCTGCAAAATGGGCCGCTGTTTTTCGTTCACTAAAGCCGTTCCTCCGCCCGTGCGGTGACACTGGTGAAGGAAGATTGGACTTTTACCACCGAGCAATGAGTAAAGCTGTTAGAAGAAAGTATGTATCAGCTTCATCCTTACTTACTTTATTGAACAAATCATAATTGAGAATAGATTCACGGTGTTCGCCTTAACATATACTCGTGTTATCACTGTGTATTCTATTTTATTGTGTAGATATTTTAAAACCGGTTCGGAAGACTACAGGAAATTCTTATATACATGGTGGCATGGCAAATTGGCCGAGTACTTTGAACAAATTGAGAATCATGATCGCAAAGCTGAGGTAAGTTCAATTTATGGCGATCGTACAAACCAAACTTTCTAGCTACTTGCAAATTTATTTCTCCATTATGAGTGTGATATAGTGATAGCCTAAATATGATCATAACTTAAGGATCTTGCCCAACTTTTTAACAGCTTTAACAAAATATACTATTTTAATCAATACATAGTTAGTTCTTAATGTGAAGATACTAGCTAGCTACTATATGATGTATATCTGAACTTCTATTGAATAAACATTTTTTAAATTTATTTCACTACTAAAGGAATTACCATATCATCTGGAAAAATTACTTGATCATAGTCGCCTAGCTAGATGCTTGTTGGAATGGCCTGTGTTTGAAAAGTTGTCTTCAGATGAACATAACATCGAATTGTTACGATCGTGGCGAAAGGTTAAGGACTTACTAATGCTGGCAAATTCTCGAAAGTCGCGTCAGTTTCATAACTTTATATTAAATCATTTTTGTCCTTTTTTAGGCTGGAGGTTATGCAACTGCTTCAAACCTATACATTCAATCACTGCAACAACTCACATCAAATACTGATGATGAAGAATTAGCTGACAAGAAATGGCGTGTTGCTCGCTTCCTGTTAGTATTTTAAATCCAACTAGTAACTTTGCAAAACTATGCGCGTATCCGATTGTAGTTAATTCTGATATACATAATAATTTTTTATGCTACTCATAGGTGTTGTGCTGGTCAATATAAAGATGCAGAGACATTATTATCTGATGCAATCGAATTAGAAGAAAACAAGCTTGGAGCAAGAAAACATAGAATGGCATGTCTGTTCCAGCTGTTGACAGATATTAAAAGCGAGGTTGGACATACTGTAGTTCTAGACAAGTATACTTATATTGAACTTGATGTCAGAATTCTTTACTTTATATCTTGCTCGATCTAGGTTAGCAAACTTGCAGAGTTTATCAGTGTGAATGATACCAAGAAGCATTATAATGTGATCCAAACTGCACTTAAAGCTATTTCTCTTCGCAAGAACTTGAAGGGCAACGAGAATAGAGTAAATCAACGCCTAACTTAAATTAAGGACATTTATTTAGTGTTCTACTGGATAACATAGACATATTTTTTTAGTATCAATTAGGCTTACTCGAACTTCGGTTGTCATTCCACTATGGAGCCTTTTTCCGAGTTGGAAGAACTTATAAGGAATTATTATCCCAAGAAAGTAGAGTCAGGTGTGAAGTGCATTGCCATAATGCGCTGCAAATATTTCAAGAGGTACTACAAAGAATATTACGACATTAATTGTTTACTTAAATAACGTAGTTGGGATTAATAAGATGCCTAAATTTCTTTTCCCAAGCTTGGTGATAACGGTCATGTGGCTGAAGCGTATCAGAATATCGCTACATTCGTTTATGATGACACTGATCCTCAACAATCTGAGGTATTACACTCGATAGTCCATTACTGTTCTTGCAATTGCAAGTACATGATGAAATTATTACCGTATGCTGCTGTTATTTCAAATGGCGTAAAGCCATTAGTGAATGTAATGCCGTATCTTTCATAAATTTTAAAATTTTATTGAGAAAGTCTTGCCGATAGATTTTACATAGTGTATTATGCTTTATGCTACAAGCTAGATTTTAAGTCTTTTAATACATGTTCTTGTCTAATATAGTGGTACAAGAAAGCGCTTGAAGTTTGCATGCAAGCCTACGGCGAATATCATAAGTTAACCGCTCGAATTGTATTCAATATGGGAATCGTGATTGAATATCGAAATAAGAAAGAATCCTATAAATACTATAAGAGAGCATATGACATTGATTGCGAAGTACTTGATAATATAAGAAATTAGAAATGAATCATAATTTTATTTTTCTTCATTTCATTTAATTTTTCTAAATTTTATTAAGCTCCATTTATTATAAAATCTAAATAGATTTTTGGTCCTACACATCCTACTACTTTACGAACAAAATCTGTTCTTGATGAACCTGCATTTCGAATCATATCAGAAGAAATGGAAATGGATCAAGGAAAAACTTCGTAAATGTATCAAATTTCTAATCATGGACTATTGTCACTGTTTTCAATATCTCGATAAGTTAATATAACGTAGTCTGCCTGTTGATGTAAACTTGTGATCAATACGATACTTGATGTATATGAATGTCTTTATAGCATTACAATATTTAGTTACTTCTTTGCATTGTTGAATATGTTACTAATGGCTGTGTCCTGTGTTCGCGATGATAATTTTATAAGTGTTTATTTGGCTGCAGTGTTTATAATTCATCTCATCGAATTTATTTGTAGAATTAAATGTTACAGATAGGTAGTCGTGCATACAGTACATTAAAAACCTGCTTAGTATGATTTTACAGACTATATTTTAACAAATTTACTTCTAACAAGGTCATCATTGTGACTACAGTATTACTGACTTGATTAATAGATATTTATTGTCGCTTGCATTACGGTGCAAACGAAGTAATTCTTATTAGTTTACTATACAATATTATTATAAGAAAGTATTTCATCAGTAATTAAGCAAGCATCGAGTAGAATTTAACGAAAAAAGCGTTTACTATGAAATATTGGTTTAGGAGAATTTGTTGCAAGATTTTCGTGATTTTATTAGTTATTTCTGTAACATTTAAAAATTGAATATACACTAGTGTTTCGTTACTGGTAAACTTTCCGACATGAAACACTTAATATACACACTTATCGTTGTCATAGTAATTATAATTTTTCAACTGTTCAGTCGAATTTCATAAACCGATTAATATATATCCTATCGACTTGAACTAAAGCGTATTGAAGTTTCTCTGGTAAATTACATGTTTGAGTGTATCAAAATGAATAAAGTTTGGTGATTTCAACTCAAATTTTTATCTTGTCTATTTATCTTCACACACCTCTGTCCATCCTATTACAATTACCAAGCTCTCAATTAAATAGTTGAAAATGCGAACATGTGAAAATAGTGTACTCGTACCTATATATTATCGTCTTGACCAAACCGATGATATCGCTTGTGATAGTTTAATTGAGAGAAATGAAACAGCAGTCTGCGCAAATTTAGATCATTCATTCTTGTTAACTATACTTTAAATTTATTCTGTAATCCTTACAGCTTTATTATGCAAGCGTTGAATTTGTAATAACTTTGAGCCTTTCGTAACCACCGTAACCACCTATTAAAAATAAAGGGAAAGCTAACGATTTGCTAATGATACGAACTATTCATAAACGATATATCACGCTATTCAAAGTTATCTCTTTAATGGTGGTTTAATTACAATCGATTCAATGAAGATGCAGTAGGATAGGACTATTTTCAAATCAAGTTAGCCATTAAGTACAGTAAAATAAGCTTCTTCGAACAAAAGAGATAAGTATAGGTTTCGATAGTTTATAAAATCAAATCTCTATCCTTTACCTTATATAGAAATGTAATATTATTTTTCACTTTAAGGAACGAAAGGATGAACCAATAATATTTTCAGAACAAAAACTCGAAGTGCGACCAGTTTATTTATATATGTTATATTGCCGTTGCTAGAAAAGAGTTGCACTAATTTCAATACGGCAACAAAAGTTTGCTAGGCAAACACTTCAATCTCTAGCAAAGGGACGGTTCAATTCAAAAAGTCTTGACACAAATGTGGAGTACTGTAATTTTTATTTAAAATTTAAAGTTTTACAGTAGTGGAGTAGGAGAATTTACGTTATGACTCGTCATGATCTATCGAATGAAATATTAGCTAAATTATAGGCAATCACTAGCAGACTAAAATTTGGTGGTCAAATAAAATTGAAGGAGTTTGCAAGTAGCAGCAACTTATTTCGGAAAAGACAGCGATTACAGACAGATACGCTGGCTAAATTGAGTCAATCGATGCATTCTTCCCTCAAATTTAATCAAACAGAACGCAAGAGAAATATTTTTCTTCATGTTTTATTTAAATATATCCTTACTATTCGCTTTTAATCTAATCTATTCATAACATACGCTTACTCAGCCGGTGAATATGATCGACAAAGCAGGCTAAAACAGCACAAGAATGCTTCAGTTCAATATGAGTCAATAGCAATGGACCCGTGTGGCAACGAAGCTATTGTTACAGAGCGAAAACTTTAGTCATCTTATGATCTATAAAACATGCTCATGTTAATTAAAAAATAAGATTCTATAAACGGACTAGCTTAAATGATTGGTTATAGCTATTAGTAAAGATAGATAAAGGTCAGTCAAATAACATTCATCTAGGAGGGTAACAAAAGTTCCTCTATTGTAAAACAACTTGTAGACTAGATAATACTTCGAAAGTTGCAATATACGTGACTAGAGAAAACGAGAGTCATCCACCCCTAATGAGGGGGCAGGTTGAACGAGAAATCATTAGCGCAGTACATTGATTAATTTAAAAAGTGCACCCAAAAAAGTTTCACTAGAACCACTGGTGGATTAAATCGTAGACAATCATAAATAGTATCCGCTGTTGATGTAAGAGCGCGATCAATAAGAAATGGAACATTTACAGTGTCCATTGCTATTAGGTTATCAATACAACGACGATAATATCTGTAATTTAATATTGGATTAATGCTATGACCATGGAAGCAAAAATGAGTCCAAGACTGATGGTAGTACTGCCGATAGCACCATTGCATACGGTATCATGGCAGTAAAGCCAAGTTTGCTTCTGACAACATGCCTTGGAATTAATTGGCTCACAAATACCAGGATGGGTAATATTGGTGGTACGAATAGGTGGATTGCCGCCCACTGACCAGACACAGTTAGGATCACCTAATTCTTCCCCATTGGATAAGCCATCGCCATCCGAATCAGCTAGGCAAGCTGATCTTCCCCATTGCACTCCAACTTCGCCCATTAGGATACCGAAAGTATTGCGGGTACCGCCACCAGCTCTTTTTTGATGGCCCACACCACCCCAAAATTGAGCGGTGTTACACGGATCGGGTACATTAGCGCCATTTGGAATTTGTGCCTGATATCTTTGATAACAATTGACAACGGAAAAGAAGAGCAATAAAACAAGATAAATCTTCATCATGTCTGTATCAAGTCGTATACGATTGACTAAATGAAAAGGAATTTTGGTCGTCACGTTGGTCAATGATGGTTAAAAAGTCACAACTCGAAAGGTAACTGCAATTTTGACCTCCACAATTCCAACTCTATTTTACCCCTCTAATATATGCACATATATAATTCAAAAGCAAGAGTTCATCATCTTCACTTCATCATATACTTTACAGTAAGTACGGTTCTCCATACACTTTTGACTTGATTTTATATAGGGTACTGTATAGTAAGTCATATGGCACGACTAATATTAATTCAATGTTAATTAATTATTAATTATTTAATTTAATTTTATTTTACTACAGTATAAACAAGTCAACAAAGTCGACGCCTCGACGACGTTGCTACGACGGCTACAGTCACAGTATAATGCAGTATGTACTGTATGTACAGACGGTACGGGACTAAAGTCAGTATAAAACATACTGTACAGTATCATACAGTACTGTACAGTACAGTGTACTGTACATTCTTTTCCTATTAGAATCTCGCATGCTCAACTGCTCATCAATCATTTAATCTCTTCGCTGCTAATATTTCCGGCATAAATAAAATTTCCAGCCATTCTTCCAATGGCTCGTTATTGATCGACAACATCGAAAATTGGTATTCTGTTAGACAAGGAGGAATAGTGCAATCTACTCATGGTATGACTGATGTAACTGACTGTATACGAGTATACTGTTAATGTTGTAAGCCAACAGTACTGATGACTGTTAAAGTAATATACACGTACGAGGAGAGTGTACAACATGGGACAACTTGGCAGTAAGGCAGCTGGTCTAGACTGTTAGCATGGAGGATGATTACCAGGTAATGTTCCATCAAAACAAAATTTCCGACATGCTTTCCAATCGATTGTATGATGAATGATGAATACTATTGTTTAATTCGCTTAATGGTTACCTGTGATATTGCTATTGACTGCCATTTTAGAGGATTGGCCAATCGATCATACATGACAGCTTCAGCCATGACCACGAACAGTACAATTATGGCGGTTGCCAATGTTGGCACTGTTCCGATGCAAAGTGTCACCAAAGTAGGAGAGTCTATGATGACGCTAGAAGACTGCTAAGAATTCTAAGTAAGTTTGTAGCTTAAAGATTATTCAATCACCTGCGTTGTAGCTTGTTGTAACAGAACATAGAAAGCAAAAGCAACATTAATCTGTGCAGCATGTAGCAAATGGAATAATCGACTATCCGAGTAATGGATTATTTATTTATTTATTGCAAACTTGTAATGTAATTCAATGACTACTCCTACCATGTAGACAAGAATTGCTCAGAACTTCAAAATCCTGTCATAGAATGCAACGATTCCTGTCTTTGTAGCATATATTGCTGGAATCGAGTGGTGCAACTAGGTTCTTCTGCAAAATTAGAATGCTTCAAAACCCAATCTAAAGGTTTAGGTGTAAGAACTACAGACAAATTAATAGCTGGTCAATTTGTCTGTGAATACCTTGGACAGGTTGTTAGTGTCCATGAAGCTAAAAGTAGATTCTCTCAAAGTGATCTCACGAAGCCTAATTATCTCCTTGTTTTAAGAGAACACATTACAAATTTTTCTAATCCTCATATTTTAATCACTTGCATTGATGCTACTAAATTTGGTAATATTGCCCGCTTTATCAATCACTCTTGCAGTCCCAATCTATTGGCAATTGCTGTTCGAATCAACACTAATGTGCCTCATTTGGCTTTTTTTGCTAAAAGAGATATTGCACCCAACGAAGAATTAACATTTGATTACGCTGGTGGTTATCGGGACAATTATAAACAAGAAACTAGTCACGGAATTAAATGCTTGTGTCAGAGTGAGACATGTTTCGGATACTTACCCTATGATCAAATGCTATTTGACGAATCGAAGTAGACATATCCATATTTATACATTTGTAAATAATTGCTTCTTCCTCCTCTACTGTTGTGATTTAGAACATTTCACCAAAGCAATTTGGAAACACCAGGCAATGTTTATTATACATGCATCACATATAGTGTAAAATCAATTCTCGATCATATTATGTTCCATCTTTTGCCTACGTACGAACATGGTTACGGGCACGTTATGTATAGCCATAGAGATATTAATCTCATCAATTGAATACAATCATCGAAAAAATTTAAAGTATTACAAGATTAAAAATTTGCACTATTTTCAATGATGATGGTACATAATTCAGAGAATTTATTAATATGCTATCACATGTACATATACATCGATGAAGCAATCAGAGTATTTATATAAGGTGATTAAAAATTCCCAGCTTGTAATTATATGATTCGTTCCTTGTACGTAAAGATCTTTAAAAGCATTGTGCCTGTTTTATAACTATGTACTAATTTTTGAACTGTAATCGAATACATAATCTACTGACTACACATTAATTGATTAATGATGATTAACTGGCTAATATTTAATATTTGGCTTGCTTTTTCCTGGTAAACTCTATTTTATTCTTACGTTACTTTAAGATTGTACGAGGTGAATGGCTTTATGCACAAGCATAAAGCCACAAACGTACGAGCTGCTATTTTACTACAGCAGGTGGTTTCTAAACGACCTTGCGAATATTATTACAAACTTCTCTATTGGCAAAGCATGGATATTGCTATAGTTAACTTTAGGAAATAGCATCACCATTTTTCAACACCACTATTGGATATACGTAAATAAACTAATATGCCTAAATATTTGCTGTTTATACCTTAGATAATGACAATAGCGGCAGAAAGTAAAGAAGTAGCCTTGAGCTCCTACTGAAACGCAGTTGTTGGCATTGAAACTTTTAACTATATGTTACCTTAGTTTTGCCGATCCAATTTTAGCGAACCGTCATCGCGATGATCCCATCACAACTAATAAAATGCACTTTAAATGACATCTATACATCCAGAAACTGCATGGAAAGCTCCTCACTTCCAGAATTACAAGTAGTAAATTTATCTAAAAATATAAATGCAACTGAGAGCTGATATAGTATGCCCGAATTTACCGTGATAACGATTACGTATATTTGAAATGAAAACATCAATCATTTGTTTATTTTACTAATAGTTGCGCAGACGTGAGAGTATGCACAAATTTTAATTTATTTACGTTGTCGTATACCTAATAGTCTATAATGCTTCATTGTGCTTCGCTACGGAATATCAAGTAATTATAAAAGATTAAACCATCTAGTAAATTTAGTATTAAACGTTACAACGTTGAACTACTTTCTACAGGAAAGTAACAATGCTTGATCGACGTAAGCAGCAGAAACAACATGAAAACCAATTATCTGTCTTTGAAACAATCTTTCATCGTCAGAAATTACGTAAAAGTAGTAAATCTAAGAAAGACAAAAAATATCCTCCACTATTAGATCGTTCCAAATCGATCCCTGGCCCTAGCTTCGTTATTGATCAGGACGAAGATACCATTGAAAGCTATCACGATTTCCGGATTGTACAACTAACCAATCCAACTTGGTGTGATTATTGCACTGATTTTATTTGGGGCTTATTCAAGCAAGCAATCAGGTGTAAAGGTGATTATTTTAGTGAAAAAGGGATTTGATTTGACTTTCCCACTATTTTTGATTTATAATATACAATGTTAGAAATCTATAAATTAGTATGGGCATTACGATATTGACATTTCTATTCTATTAAGGGATAATGCAACCGATAGTTTAATGACAATAAAAAATAAACAATCTTATGAATCCTTCCTCTCCATAAGAGAATGATATAAGTTAAATAATGGCAACTCGAGCCAACTTTTACCTAATAGATTATTTGATGGGGTTTCAACTACTCCGATTCCTTTTCAAAATGCTATAACAAAGTTAGAGTATTGTAAATACCTACATTACCTTTGTCAGTTAGTACTAACTAAAAGGTCTTTATATCTAGCATGTAGGTATACCTGCCATAAAAAATGCCAATTTAGGATTGATTTGAAATGTCCTCGATCGTTGGCTAAACAGATATCAGAAAATCACCAGCATATAGTACAACAGGAACAATCCCTACAACTAATTAGCGGAAAGGCCAACGAAAAGCCAGGATACGCACGGGTCTGAAATAAACTTCTAATCGTAAATAAAATGAATCTTGAAAAACCTTTTAAACCATTAAAGCTACAGCTTTAGGCTGCGATATTAGGATGTATAAAGCTTAGAAAATTTTTTTTAATTTACATGGCCTTAAATTTGGCAATCATTTCTTAGAATACTTTAGAAGTATTGGGGTTAAAATCTACACAAGAACTGAAAGAAGTTATACAAAGATACAATCAGAAATCTTCTGGTTTAATCATTACCATGGTTAGTTCAGAAGGCAGTATTATCGATTTGCCAAATATTATAATCAATCAGTGTTTCCAGATTGTGTATATACACATAGAGGAAGAAATTGTATTATGAAAATGATATCATAAATTTATCTCATTAATCTACGTATATATGAATATCTCAAACTCAAGCAACCAAAGAGCTGCAAGTTCGCTGGGTTTATTCATATTGGCGTCGATATTCTTCGACCAGTAAATGTTCATCCTTTCAATGGTAAAATAAAAGAACAGCTGAAAGATTCGCCTAAGCTTGGTTCTAGTAACGTTAATAGGAAACGAGTTAGTATAAATGAATAACGATTGAAGCCAGTCTCGCGTTTATTGGCTAATAACTAATAATCATACTATACGATATCCAAATTATTTATATCATGCGAATAATCATCTATGTATAGCTATATGAATATTGAATGTTTATTTATTCTCAATTAATAGTTTCTATTAGATTAATGTTTTATTGAAACTTTGTCAATACATTGTAGAGTACATCTTTCTTTATGCCGAGTGGTAGTTTACAGGCTATTCATGTTACGAGTGATACAACCGCAACGGAAATTATCGTTACCTTTTTAGAAAAGTATAAAATTGCTGATAATCCACAAAAGTTTGCAATCTATGAAAGGGTGCACAAGCTTACCAAGTACTTTGGTACAGTATAAAGATCTATGCATGTAGTAGATATTACTATGTAAACTAAAAAGTCTTTAAAAGTATTACTACTATATCTTACAGATAGAAAGCTGAATGACTACGAAAGACCTTTATGCCTTAAATTAATGTGGAATAAACAGAACGACGAAGAGAAATCGTTTGTTATCGGTGAAAATAAAACTGGAGATATTTGTGTTAGTATCGTAGCTAATTGCCCTAAGATATGGGAGACCAGGATTTAATTATTGTCTACATTTAAGATATCGAATTCATGTTTAATAAGCGCGCTTATAGATTCAATTTTGACGTAGTTAATCATATATTTATGTTATAGTGGGATGCATTTTCAGTAGCGGAGCTGGAAAATTTTTTGACTATCTTAAATTTAGAAGAGAAAGAGCATATTAATCAGGTTAGTAGTGGTTATGAATATAGCTTATATATTTTATATTAAACAACTACTTTAATATACACCGGATGTAAACGCTACTTTCCATATAATACATCCTATTTAATGTTATTTCTCTTATTTTATGATTACTTTTCATAGCAATATCAATTCTTCTAAAATCTATCAGTACAATTTGTAGTCATTTTTATTATTTCGTAATGTATAAGGTTCGTACACGATATGAAAGGCAAGAAAATTATTTGCGAAGTATGCTTGAAACTCCAAAACAAGATTAAAATTATTGCTGTATTCAATAAAACTGCGATCCGGTGATAATTTATCCACCAAAGTTATAATTGGTTAACTTAGCAAGTCGTCTATGATAACCAATGTTATGTCTGCACATATTCATGGAAGCACACCGCTGCCTGTAATAATAAGTTAGTTTATCAGGAATCGTCTCAATGATTTGTAATAGGTGTTTACAATATCTCCTGGTATTGTGTAGCCTGTATGTATAGGCTTTAGCCGCTTTCTGTTCTATATTAGTGCGAAATATAAAATCGACCGCATCTAAATACCATATTCGAGAGTCTATAACGCCATTCTTGTATACCTAATGTGAAATATGGTGGTCTACTGTACGCACATGTATTCTAACGACGTCATTATTAAAGCTAATGGACTCTTAAACCCATTGCTGTATTTGTATTTCAATTGCTGATGACGTGAGCGTAAGACTTTCGAATTATTTCCGATTCTATTATAATTACTAGTGCAAACTCCCGTCGCTTTGCTGACGGTTTACGATAATGTGCTCATTTAACAGATAGTATTACCATTTGATAGACCTGTCAGACTCAGTCTTGTTATAGGCAACATTGTTGTCATTTCTACCTATGCCGCTTTTGAGCCGGCCATCATTAGCCTCAATTGGCCCAGTACAGTATGCGAATATCCATCATAGTAGTATAGAAAACTGAAAAAGCGAATCAATCGTCCCACCGAATTTGCACCATCGTTAGATCAAAATGACAATAAGCCTCGTAATATCGTTACCCTCGATGAATATAAATGTAATATTTTAAAAGATGCCCAGTTCTCGACCTCTACTGTGAAGCTGATCGCATTTCAGTGCTGTACTGTATATATGCGTGACTATATACCGTACGGCAATTCGCACAGCATTGTTGATGCGTGGATATGTATATATATACTCCTACAATATTTTCTTTCGCTAAGGCCACTCGTGTATGATTGCCTGTGGGCACTCTTATATACGAGTGATGACCAAAATGCTAGAAAGAACTACTGAATGAATCATGTAGCTACTGGCTGGCACTGGTGGGTAGGCATTATTTTTGCTGGTGATTTCAAACTTGGGTCATTCAGCGCAGATATAGTGAGAGGGGCAGCGCACGGATACGCTGAGCTAACGCAGTGCAGTCGACTCTCTTTTTCTTTCGTACTTCTGGTTGTTTAGCCTACAGTATTGCTCATGGTCTGATTGATAGTACTCTTGTTCTTCTCTGCATTGATCGATTGTGAATGCTTGCAATTCTAACTTTTCGTATTTCTCTGCTTGATCGATCTGACAATCTCTCTCCAAGCCTATTGCAGTTCATACTGATGGTTTTGTTTATTGCTGTTGACGCACTATCTGATACTACAGCACAGTAGAAGAGAAAAGAGCTTACGTACTGTACTGTACTGTCCAGTATGTACAATACTACACCACAAATGATGGTTTGTTGTTTTTTTGGACCTCATCAATTTCGATCCTTCCTCCTCTGATTTCTGGATCATTTGGCGAAGATCTATCTGATTCAACTCGTTTAAAACTGTACCATACCATATCGAGGTTTGTTGTTTTTTTGGACCTCATCTATTTCGATCCTTGCTATTCCAATTTCTGGGTCGGAGATCCTATCTGATTCAACTCGTTTAACCCTTTAAAGTCGCGCAGCCGCTGTCGCAGTTGCTCTTAGACTTACTGTTGCCGTATGGAAACAATACTGTTTATACGATAAGCATTTAAACTGTACCGTACAGTACAGTACAGTACAGTACCGTATAATACTACAGTACAATACCGTACAATACCGTACAATACCGTACAGTACATGTTGAAACTTTGTACTGTACTCTACTCGTCAAGAGCCAATAGAAAAAGCTTGCCCAATTGTCTGCACTTTGCAAGCAGTGACACAGTCAGTCAACGCATTCCATACTCAAGCCTACAATTGGGTAGAGTGCACCAAGCGAGTACTGCCATAGTCCTGGCGAACTCAATCCAGAAAGGATTGATGGCGGATTGGATAGTCATGACAAGCTGCAACGGTGAAAATTGAATGTTCTAATGGCAATGAAACTGATGGGAAATGTTGTTCTTGCTTGAAGGAGAAAGATGAATTGCGAAGAGTATAGTAATCGTATTTTACAGACTGTTGTGGCTCAAATTTGCTTAGCTATCGGATGGACATCCATCTCCGATTCAGCCTTGCAAGTCTTGGTCGATCTAATCAATCGTCATATCCACAATATCGGCAAAAGAACACAATTATACTGTGCTCATGGTAACTACTACTGATACATTCCTATTGCATGTTCATGGACATAGCATTGATTAGCTAGAGTGGAGTGATTGATTCTCTTGCATGATCTGTTGACAACTAAGTTTCCTTATTATACTGTACATTTGTCAATCTTACGCTATCTGCATCTCGTGTCTGATAACAGACCTCATTCTCTCGGAAAAGACTGCTTGTAAAATGAAAATGACATCTTGCAATAGTGGCAGAAAGTTGTGTTAATTAGTTTGAATAGAGGAAGGATACTGTACTCGTTGTACTCGTACGATCGTATCGTGTTGTTGGACACCAATACACAATCATGACACGATCGATTAACATCGTTCAGATGGTTTACACTTTCAATCCAAATGATAGATTGACTGTGAATAACATCACATCTATACAATTCATTTCCAATGCTGATCATTCTGTATTTGGACAAGAAGGAAACACCATAGAATGATCAATAAAGTACAACTCAATAGTAAGCCATAGTCAAAACTAGATAACCTTGTCCATAGGACCCAAAAGGGAATCGATTTCTCCAAAAGTACATACAAACTCTTTATCATGACAATGTGATAGTACAATACGCGTCACAATATCAAGTATAAAATGATTTGCGGTAGAGAGAGTGACTGCAAATGAAGATTCGTTTCTCCACTTTCCAATCATCAACGCTGGATAGATAACAAAAATATTTCTAGATTAAAAACAGTCTACTTTACGCGTATGACAACAAGCAAGGTTGACAATTGATGCATTAAATCGCTTCCCTATCTTATTTAGACGGCCGTACAGAATCCAATTTGGATGATTTACAGATGGCTTTTGACGATGTTGGTATCGATTTGAAAGAAGTCCTTGAATACATTGGTCAAGTCGATGTGGTTCCTTTAGGCCAAGAATATTATTCATTTCCAGTGCCTGTACCTGATAAAATCATCTACCTTGAAGAGGACGATGACGAGCAAAAATCCAATGCCAGCGATCACATTGATCTTCACCCACCCAATCATGACCTTAACGAAAGTAAGTCATGTTGATGTAGTTGCCTCCTACAATATATTTTGCAAATCTACACAGTCTTCAACTCATCAGTTACACAATTGGAATTAATTTTCAGTCATTAGTCATACTACGGCACACGGGTATATAATGCTACTTTGATGAATAACACCGTGAACTTTTTCTTATCTAAACTGCTTAAAAATGTTCCTTACTATACATTAGTTGTCAATTTTTGACCTGTTGATGACATAACATCCATTATATTCGTAAATAGTAGGTACCAAACAAGTAGAAATGATGGAAATAGATGAAAATATTACAAAGACAGATACCAAGTTAATAAATAACGATGCTACAGATAGTGTAAAAAGAGATGTGAATGATCAAGCAAAGGCCGAAAATCTGGAAAGCCATGATAGTATTGAAAATGAACCTGAAGTTATTGTAATTAATAAACGAAATAAAATTGAAGATTTAAGGCAACGTTATCGACCAGACACCCTTTATACCAGTGATCGAAAAGAATGGCACATGTCTAACAACAGAGCCATTTCTCTCGCTAGTAGCAAGGAAGCTGAAATGAAACCAACAACATTGTCTATGCCGATGGTAAAGCCTCTAAGGACCAATTCTGAACCGAATAAGCCAATACAACCTGATGTCATCTTGAAGAGCAACGCCGCATCGATCAATAAAACTAAAGTGAAATCTGCATCAAAACTGAAGCCTTCTAATAGTAAGTCAGAAATGAAAACAACCAAGGATTCTCCTACGGCAGCTGAATCATCTCTCGTTGACCCAAAGAAAGTCATGGTAATTACCTTTCTACTAATTAATTGATTGATTGATTGTTTGATAAGCAATGCTCAGTAAGTTGAAGACATTACCGCAATTTTTTTCTTAATTTCAGACCATGAAAAATATTGTTCTTAAGATTACAGCTTCAGTGGATGAAAAGAAAAAGAAAAAAAAATCATTTTCCGGTGTTGAGATTATCGAGAAAGCTGCCAAATTATCCCCAAATAAGAATAAATCTGAAACTAACAAGGCTAAATCCGATAGCAATGTTGCTAACGTAAGTAACAGTAAAGTCAGCAAGGTTAAACGTCCAGATGGAGAAAAATTGAAAACAAAGCGAAGCAATGAGGGGAAGACTAAGGAAAAAAAATTGGTTAAGAAATATATCGACGAATTGAGCGGCGTTACAGATCAGATAAAGGGTAAAATGAAAGCTAAACCGAAGGATAAGATAAAAAAGGTTAAAGGCAAACATAAAGGCAATGTTCAAGGTAAAGGTAAAACCAAAGTCAAAAGTGATGGCAAAATCAAGGGTAAAGACAAATTCAAAGGTGGTAGTAAAATTAAAGCTGAAAGCAAACGTAAACGTAAAGGGAATGACAAAGATACAAGTGAAAGAAAGCATAAATCTGAGGGTAAAAGTAAAATCTATACAACAGATGATAACAAAAAGAAGGCTTTAAAAAGTCAGGATATTAAAAGGAAGGATTCTAAAGGGAATATCAGCTTGAAATCGAAAACCAAGTTAGATAAAAGTAAATCAGAGAAATCTAAAATTGCTGGAAAAAAGAAAGATAAACCTGCACTAAAAACTAGCGCTGATATGTCTACTAAGCTGACATTGAAAGACAAACCCATTAAAAATGCTTATTCTAAGGTTAAGCTTTTTTATTTCAAATGCTCTTAATTGGTAAAATCTAACATTGACAATATATCGTCATCGCAGTTTACTGTAGATGTACCCAAGTCGAAAAGTCAACCTGAAACACCGAAAAAGAAAAGAAAAATCAGTGATATTGGTACAGAGTCAATAGAATCTCCTAAGCGGCCTAAATTAAGCTTTAAGGCAAGTCAATAGCCAGTGTAAAATTCAGATAAGTTAATAGCTTGAGTTCTTACGAATTGGCATGAAATTTCTTGTATAGATTCCAGCAGGTATCGCCGACAATTCAGCTGTTAAAACGCCATCAAAAAAACGAAAATCTGAATTTGAAGATATCAAGCCTGGTTCTGCAAAGATCCATAAACAAGCAGAAAAAAAATCGAAAATTGAAGAAAAGTACGTCAATACACGTAAATAAGTAAACACTGCATTACTTGTGACAAATCTTTTTACGCTAACTTTATACAGAAGTAATCGGAGCAAAAAGGCAACGAAAAGTAAATCAAACAAAAGTAGTCAAGGCAAACCACTTGACAGTGTAAAATCGAAACCATCTCTGCCTCCTGTTTATGTAAAGGCAATTGTCGATGAAACAATCTCTACTGCGAACAATGTATGTAATAAGCTATGTTGCAAATTAATGCTTAAGGGATAGCTTGACAAATTCGTCATATTGAATTACCTATTATGCTGGGTTATTATGTTAATATTTTATGTTTTAATTTGGTAAGGCTACCGAAACTTCGAATTCTTACGATCCCTGTCCAGTTTGTCATCTTTTGGATGATGGATCATCAATGGTATTTTGCGATGAATGCGAGAAGTGGTTTCATTTGTTAGTAAAAATTCATTACTGCTGTATATTTTTATGCTGCTTTCGAAATGATCAATTCTCCATGAATTTCTATCGTATAGTAAATGTGTTGGTTTAGAAATTGCGCCAAAAGAGGAAGACGCATGGTTTTGCAATGCCTGCCGACGTAAGAAAAAGACTGGTAAAACTAGTCAAAAATTTATAAAAAAATAGGTAAGAATTTAATACTGTAGGATAAAATTAGTTTTGGACGATAACTCATGCTTTAACTTAGTAGATATGAATATTGACTTTCTATTAAAGACTGTGGTCATGATTTATAATTCTTCCTAATCATTTTTGATCGCCAAACTTTTTAGCAAGGCAGGTTTTCGAATAAGATACGAAATGAAGCGTGAGGTTTATCGAGAGTGTAATCTTGAATGTATTATGATGATGCTATTTCATAATTCGATATTAAATTTGCCATGTCAGTGGGGATCGGCTTTATGAAATTTTAATTTATCCTGTATCATTGTAATCTAATTTACGTTAAATGTTGCTGTTGTACGATTTGGCGAAAAAGAGACAACATTATCATAAATCCGGACCTGGAGCTCCGAATGATTGTCAAAATGTAACACAATCAATAAATCAACACTCAATTTTTATCCGGTTTTCTTGTATAAAATTTTAGCACAGCAACCTAAATGTCTTGTGCGTAGAGCAGTCGACAATTGAAATTGTATTAAAATATTTGTATCATTTAACATTAATTTTATTTCTGTTGCCGAAACGTTATTGTAAATCGAAGTAGACTCGGTATTTGCTGATTTAGGGCGGACACAAGGCTTTTATTCTATGTAGTAAATTTGTATACCAACTCTGCTTGGAACCAAATATATTCTATTTATTCCAATGTCATAACTTATATGGGATACTTGAATTAAGTTCATAATAAATATTTGGCTAGATTTTAGTTCTCATATGTGACGGAAGAGTCGTTACTTAATGAGTGTATAACTAAAAAATTATCATGTATACGCGTATTTACTAGCATGTTAAAAAAGTTTGTACGAAGTGGCTATCGTATCGGTAATCTCAGAAAACTTTCTTTTAATAATTCTTTTGTATTAGTAGTGTCGACGCAATAACATTAATACTGAAGATGTAGGAATTTTTTCCAGTAGTAATCGAATGACAATATTACCTAATTCGCATTTGCAACTACAAAATTCTTTACACCTATTTTTCCGGAGGAGGTGATTTTTGTAGGTTAATGTGTTTAAATTTAAATATGAAATAACGCATTTGTAACTGTAAATTCTTCTTGGTACGTAAAATCTTTCTGATGTTGTCACAAATCATACGGATCGAGCGCGCAGCAGCAAGGCTAAGATCAATATTCAACACTATTAACTTTGCCTTGCGTTGTTGATAAAATATTATTTCGTACTGAGTGATTATTACAAAGGCTATTGTACTAAATTAGAAACTGTAAATCCAAATTATGTCATAGCAGTATATCCCGCTATTTAGAAATGACCAGAACTCACAAAGAATCCTCCACATGCTTGTTATTAATACATGAGTAGCGGGTGAATTGGAAGATATCTACCGGTTCTCAATCGAGATCCTGCAAGTCTCTAGGTTGGAAAATATCTACCGATCAAGCCGGCTAATAAATGCTGAAATACAGTAGATCGTTAATGAATTGTCAAATAAGTACGAATAAATATATGGGTTCGCTGAACAAAGTCTAAACTATAATTCCGGAATTATGTCTACAAATGCTTGCGTAAGCGCACTACTATATGCAGTAGGAAATTTGCTATTACCTACTACGTCCAGTACAGACACAGTATACTGTTCATGCCAGTTGTAAATAAAACCTATCTTTACTAAATGCACCGTCTCTCAGACTTCATCAATGATAGGCAGATAATTCAGTTGTGAATGTTATCATACTCCTTGAAATTTCTTGCTTATCAATTTCATTACAGTATAATTTTTTTGTATCATTATAAATCCATTTTTATATTAATTGATGGCAAGTCCATACTACTGTATAAGTCTACCATTAAAAAAGTATGAAAATACCGAAGATATACTAATATCATTGTTGACGAAATTTGTGAAATATCGAATCGTTGATTTCTTGACATTCTATGGGAATGTGATAATTAGTATTCATCTTTATACAATTTACTTGTACCAATCTTATATCGGAGCAAAGCTAAAATTAAAGCTTTAGTTCCCTAAATAAATTTCATTCACGAATTTTGTATTTACATGCATAATCAAACCTTTCATCATTGATATCTGCTCTAAAAATAAATGTTATCATCCTTGATATACTGATAAAAACTGGTACCCCTATAATCTGGAATAAACTTATATACGTATGTATAATTAAAGATCTCATCCTTTCTATCGGCAATGAAAGTAGAAATTTATCATCTTTGATTCACTAATGCAAAGAGTTGACCTCTAGATTTGGTGTGAATTTTACATGCTCGTATGTGATTAAATATCTCATCATTTCTATCCATCCTAAGAGTAAAGCTTTATCGTCTTCGATTTACTAATGTAAGAAGTTAGCCCTCATACTTTGGTGTGAACTTCACTTTACACATATGAATTAAATATCTCATAATTTCTATCTGTCGTGAAAGTAAAACTTTATCATCCATGATTTATTGATGAAAGATGTTTTTCTTATATTCCGCCATGAGTTTTACATACGAGTACGTAATTAAACATCTTTTCATTTGTATTGCCCTAAAAGTAAAACTCTTATCATTCTAAATTTACAAATGAAAGGAATCTGTTGCTAGATTTTGGCTTGAACTCTAAGCGCAACTGTATATTGAACACATTGCAAGATTAATTAACAGTAGCCTTTTATAATCTTAAAGTAGTAGACAGACTTGTTATTTTAATTCACGATCCGATCAATTGATCTTATTAATATATCGATATGTTAAACAATAATTTCATCAAGAACTCACTCTCTGCATCTCTTGAGCAATAACATTTTTCTATTTTTAAATCATCATTCAATACAATATAACTAATGTTCATTATCTTACTTCCCCGTCATTTAACAAATAACTGACCCATTTAAAAAAGGCGAACATGACTAAGATGTACATAATTCATTACTGGTATTCGTAATGAAACTCCTACTAAAATTAGTGACAATGCCATTGACTGAGAGATCCTGTCATTCCACCCGTTTAAAATATCCATCATTTATTGATAATATGACGTTCATAACGACAGGTAGCTTCTAATTAGAACCAATATTGATGGGTCATAAGGTAGCATGTTATTGCTTGTGCCTTCATCCATCACAACGTAAGTCATTTTTATCTGGAAAGAATTTGACTTTTAATTCTAATTTACAATATGCGTCATCAAGTCAATTGTATTGGCTTCTCATATGAGGATGTAATATTATAAAAGGCTGTTCTAAAACAATCTTTTACTTTACTATTAGTTCACTTTGTTGATATCCTATTCTCAATGAATGCTATTGAAATGGAATTTATTGCCACAAGATATGCTTTTATAAAGTAAAGAATAGACATCTTGTCATCTTAGCTTGATTCCTGGCCAATTTATGAGTAGTCCTGCTGATTGCGTCGATATCATAGCCAAAAAATATAAACAATCAAGTCTAGACTATAACATAGAATAAGCCTTTTTTGTTTCTTAGTAGTAGTCTTTTACAAAATTATTCATCAAGTTGTGTCATTCATGAAGTCATCATTTTTGAGCAGATATTAAAATATCTTGATCATTAGATAATAATCATGTAAAGTATCAATACTTACGTGGATGTAAAATCAACATGGCTAGTTAAAGGAGTAAACCAATAGTACGCTAGGATTAGCATTCTTGTGTAATCAATTTTTCCATTTTGGTCTCTAATCTATTTGAACAATCATCATGGTACATAAATAGACTAAGCGATGATAGCTCCATATATATAAGCATAGAAATGGATAGATATCGATAAGATAGAAGATTTCTATCACGAATAAAAATGATCTTGAATTATATATTGATTAACAATAATAAAATTAAATTTATCGAATGATCGACGATAGGGTTACTGCTATTCATTTTCTTCATCCGCTGATGAATAAGTAGTGATTAAAATGAGAAATAGTTCGTGATGATCATTTATTTTTTTTATTTTTAATGAAATATATATCTTTATTTTCAGCTATAATATTTTCAATCCTCATCTATTAAATAGATATAGTGTCAATTGATCAAATGATCGATGAGAATTTTACTACTATTCTTCAAATTTTAATCAATGAGAGGATAGAACGTTCGTGATGATTCCTTTTATTGACGTAAACGTCTTTCTATTCTGGTTCAATAAATTCAATTTTAACCGTCCTTTTCAATGCCTTTGATGCTAGAGTTGTATCACGGATAAAAATGAAATTGGATACGCCATAAATGTCGTTCAGTTGCTCGTGCAATGAAAATTAAGAGTTTAACTATTGTTTACTTTCTTCATGCGCTGATGATTAGAATAAAATAACGTAATAAATAATCTTTGCACTGATTAATCCATTTCTCATACGTGATCAATTTCATTTCTATTCGACATATCTATGACTGAAATTGAAATCCAAATCACGGCTGCAATTAAATAGATCATCCTTGCATGACGATTTAATATTATTTTTCTCAATTCCTACCCATCTACGCATACTGATGGCATCGATCCATACCTTATGTCAAGCACTCTTACGATTCTCTTTTCTAGTCGTCAATCGCCATGATGATTTAAAATAATATTATTTTCGATCCAGGCCTCATTTACGTGTGTTTATGATATCTACCTATGCCCTATATCAAGAACTCCTACGCGTATTTATGATATCTACAAATTTATACCCTATATCAAGTACTCCTACGATTCTCTTTTCTAGTCGTCAATCGTCATCATGATTTAAAATAATATTATTTTTAATCCAAGCCTCATCTACGGTATTTATGATATTTATCTATGCCCTATATTAAAGACTCCTACGCGTATTTTAATATCTATCTATGCCCTATATCAAGGACTCGTACGCGTATTTATGATATCTACGAATGTATACCCTATACCCTATATCAAGCACTCCTACGATTCTCTTTTCTAGTCGTCCATCGTCATGATGATTGAATATTATTATTCTTGATCGATGCTCTATCTAGGCGTCTTTATGATATCTACCTATAGTATGTCCTATATCAAGAACTCGTACAATTCTCTTTTCTAGTAATCCTTGGTTATATACAACGTATATGAGAATTAATTGTCGATCCTCTTTATCGTCAATATGGCCTAGTAGTAATGTCATAGATTAGAATACAAGCTGATTTCCCCGGTAAAGGAATAGAATCAATAAATGATCGTTGCTCTGATTAATCCAATTCTCATACCCGTGGATCAATTTTATTTCTATTAGACATGATCATGACAGCAACTGAATCCAATCTACAATTATAAATTGGATAAATTATCCTTGCATGATGATTTGATATTCCCCTCTTCTCCATACTGTATCGATTCATTCTATCCATGGATGCCCTATATAAATAATGGTGGATCATCTTGATCGTCAATATGCCCGAGCAGTCATATTGTTGATTATGCAAGCTAATTTACTGGGCAAAAGAATAGAATAACTTAATAAACAATAGTTGTTCTGCCCTAATCAACATTAAATTAGTTACTGTATTGGCTTGCATGATGAATAGTCACACCTATTATGGGAAAACATTGGATATTATATCATTTGAATAAGGTGAAAGAAGTTCTTTACAATCTTTAGTCTTGTTATTGTTACTTTATGTAGAGAAAGTAGATAGAAAGGTGAATGCATTTCAAAACATGCCAATCCTTCTATATTATCAACGTAATAGGAGACATTGAGATCCAATGACGTAGTATACAGTACAAGAGTTACCTCTGGCAAATTGATCTCTATTTAATAACCAACTTTGATAGCCATACAAAATGGTTTAATATCAAGGTTAACAATGTGTTTTTCCATTTATTTTTACCTATTAGGTGATCTAGAACGATAAAATAGTGGTTGAATTCCTTCTCTTGGACGGGAAATTACCGTTGAAATTCATCAAGATTCCGTCAAAATCAATCCTCAATCTCCATTCCTTTCGCTATTCTATTCTACGATATTGAGAAGCCATATTAAATGGCAAGAATTTCCTTCCAGCACAGACGTAAGCCAACCAAAATGAACAGAATTATTCTTGTAATCGTTGTTCGAGTGATTTGATCCAAATTAGAATTAATTTTTCCCCAATGGAAGGATAACTGGATAAATTGATCGGATTGTAGATAGTCTAGAAAGTGGTAGAGTAAAAGATTTCAAAAGCAATTTCAACATGGCATCCAACAAAGTCACAAGGTAAAAATAATATTATCCTAGAGTTTTTTTGGTGACACGGGTAAGGAAGAAAGGATTAAAAACTTGACAACATAGATATCGATCCTAAGGTCTATATTGGGATTATTGGCCATGATCATGCAATTGATCAACAGTAGCATAGAATTATTAGGCTTTGAAATTGCGCTAATTTATCTAATTATTCAATTACAATTATAGGTCATAATAAGAGATACTAGAGTTAGCAACAGATCTCGTCCATGATTTGCAGCCACGTTATTAAATACGATAGAATATCTATTGCAACAGCAGTCAGAGGTCAAAATTTTGCTTTGCCTTCAAGCATTTTCTAATTTCAAAGGTAGAATAGCCATTCAAGTAGAAGGTGATTGATTATTCAATTGACTTCCATATTAAATTGCTCAATACGACGTAGGTGGCATGAAAGGACGCTAACAGCAGCCATTCTCTATCTAATCCAGTACCGAATAGCATCATCCATTATCCATAAAAACCATTTTTATTACAACCAATCCCTTTTCCATCGATCTTGCAAAATTGGACTAGGAACTCAGTGCTATAATCACTTTGATTTTGAGGGTTAGTCTGGAAGAATTTTCCAGACATTATGTTGGGGAGGAGGTTCAATACTATAAATTAAAGTGAGGGAAAAGACAATTAAAATTAATATTGTGAATTACAATCATTGCCTGCCCATTTCCTTTCCATCATCTTCCAAACTGAAACGGCAGTATATCCGCGCTTTTAAGCCTGGATAAATTGGCATAGATTGGAGATCCATTTTATGCAAGCCGTTAAATAAAGTGGATCAAAGCTGCCATCGCTGGATCAACAACTCAGAAGCAAAGTCAACATTGTGAGAAATAATCCGTGGTGGCCATTCCAGCTAGTTTCCAAGCTTGTTCAATAGGACAGTAAAAAAACAGTTTTGTGTTCACCTTTTCGTTTCTGATCTAGTCTGGATTAAATTTGCAAAGGTTGGAGATTCATTTCACGCAAAGCATCCATTAAAGTGGGAAAAAATTGTCGTCGCTTTCCAGCAAACTGTCAAGCTTAAGTAACACCAATTCGATTGTGTAGTTATTTTTGTTTTTCGGTCTAGAGTGGGAAGAGTATTTAGCCGTTATCACTGGATCAACAAACTCTAAACTAAAGACAACATTAACATAACTCTGAGAAAACGACCTGTGTTGCCCATTTTTCCTTTCCAGTAAATTTCCAAGCTTCAACAGGACAGTAGAGCATCAGTTCTGTGGTCACTTTTTAGTTTCTGACCTAGCCTGGATAAACTTGCAACGATCCATTTCACTTACAATCATTCATCAAAGCGGATAAAAATTTCATTGCTTTCCAGCAAACTTTCAAACTTAAGCAACAGTAAATGAATTGAGTAGTTGCTTTTATTTTCTGGTCTAAAGTGGGATAAAATCCTTTGCAAAGATTAGAGAGAGAAATTATCGTTGTCGATTGGACGTAAAACGTTCATTAATAAAAGAAAGGAAATCCATGATTGCTATACCAATAAACGATGCACTAAGGTCAACATTTTCTGAAACTCTCGGTGTCGCCAATTTCTCATCGCTCGATCGAATATTAAATTAGTTGTAGGATAATCACCTTTAGTTCTCAGCTTCGTCAAGAAAAACTTTAAGATTACAGTCAGTGCCTTCGATTTCATTTTAAAGCTCCATTAAAGCGCATCCAAAATCCTTCATTCCGAGACAACATCCATAAACGATGAGATCAGGTTGCTAAGCACGCTTGCATTACTTGATCATCTAGCTCTGCTTATCCACACTCGTTTTAGTTGATCCCTTGCCATTCCAGTCAGTTTTTACTATTAAACCAAGCCAAGTTGAAAATATCAAGATGGAGTCGGATAGTGTTCTCAATTATGTACGCTCGCAATTTCCAATCGAAACTTTACATCAATTATACACCAATGGAGAACTATGTGATATCCAAGTGAAAATCGGCCATCAAACTTACCATTGCCATCGTATCGTGTTAGCAAGCAATAGTACTTACTTTCATGCCATGTTTACCGGCAATTTAACTGAAAGCAAACAAAATAGTGTGGAAATTAAAGAAGCCGATCGAGAAGCAGTCGCTATCTTAATTGATTATTTCTATCGAGGTAAAATTGAAATTAATACCAATAATGTCCAAAGTGTAGCCGTCACGTCGTCAATGCTCGGTGTCGACGAAATTGTTCATGTATGCTGCCAATTTATAAGCGATTTATTAGCTCCAAGTAACTGCTTGGAAATTCGTTATTTCGCCCAATTTCATCATTTTGAAGCATTAGGCGAAGCGGCGGATAATTATATCGCTAACCATTTCTCGGAAATTGTCGAAACCGATTCATTTGTTGAAATGTCCTACGAGCACTTAATTAATATCTTACCTATGCCTCATTTAAAAATGATTGAAGAAATTAGTGTCTTTAATGCAGTAATGAAATGGATTCGATCGGATCTAAAAGCAAGAAATGAACAACTACCCAAGTTATTAAATTGTGTCCGATTAGCATTGATTCCGGTTGAAACTTTAATTGCTAAAGTGGAAAGTGAAGACCTTATCGTTCATGAATTTCAATGTCAAATGTATTTACATCGAGCTAAAAATTATCATTTTATGCCCGAGCGTTTCTTCTCTGCTAAAACACAACCAAGAGAACATCATGACACTCTTCTATTAACTCTAGAACAACAAAATTATCAAAATTTGTTTGTCTATTCTGATCTGACACCAAACGCTAAATTATTATATACTGATAATAATTTCGCCCGGACACAATTTGCAGTTCTGGCTTTGGGAAAGAAAATCTTTTTCTTTGGTGGTAGAGCCAGCTATAACTCCAATAACTACGGTAATTCATCAAGGCGTCATCGGCGATATAGTAAGTATAGCCATAGCCATTCCTCAACGATTCCATAATAGACTTTAAAAATTTCATGAGTAATTATATAATTGCTATACGACAGAATCCAATGATATAGAAATTACTTTTTAACCCATTTAATCTTTCCATTGCTCATCATTAACAAGAAAGAGTTGCTTATTAGCTTTTCATTGAACTGCAATGGAGTTTTATCTAAATAGGTACCACCTGTCAACTAACCTAGTTTTGTATTTTGCAGTTCTTAAATAGCGATAATGCATATTTAGCGAAGATTTCGGCTAAATTAGCCATTGCTCAGCTAAGCTGGCTTCGTATTTTGATGTCATTGAATAGCGATATCGCGTATTGCATGAGGATTTCAACTAGATTAGCTATTGCTCAACTAGCCTAGCTTTGTATTTTGCAATTCTTTAGTAGCTATATTTCATAATCAGAAGATTTGAACCAAATCAGTCATTACTCAACAAGTCTTGCTTTGCATCTTTGCAATCTTTTAGCATTGCTATTCTTTAGCAGCTATCTCATACTGGGCAAAGATTTCAACCAAATTGGCTATGCTCTACGAGTCGAGCTTTGTCTCTCGCAATCCTTTAGCATTGCTATTCTTTAACAGCTATCTCATACTCAGGAAATATTTTAACCAAATTCGCTATTGCTCAAGTAGTCTAGCTTTGTATTTTCCAATCCACTAGCATGGCTGTTCTTAAGCTGCCATTCCTCAAACTGAATGAAGATCTTCAAAACGTGATGTTTCATAAGTGTCGTCAATGGAGATTCAAATAAAATTAAACTTTATTTAGGCTTTAGTAGCATTCGTTGTGTTTCCACTCTTAGTCGTTAACGTTAGCACGCGGAACTTTGATACACTCCTACTAGTAAGCTTACTGAAAAGTCTCTCTTATTTAGGATTTACTGCATTTAAATAGTATAGCTGTAATGGCGTATTATACCCTTATCTTAGTAATTCATTACCTTATCTTATACTAACACGTTAGGTGCAGTACAACAAGTTACTGTATTCTTACATACATAACAGCATTTACAACAACGATATCTCATTTTTAAGGCTTTATTGGATTAGTACTATGAATGTAATCACATCGGTATCTTATTAATAGAACTAATTTTTCTCCTTCGCTATGTAGGTGGAACTCTTGAAATGGACAATTACGGTTACTCGTCTATCCCTGTCAATAACTTTACTGATGTGTCTTGCCTAAATGTTAATAATTATAGTTGGACCAATAGAAGTTCCATAACTCCAATGCCAATATCTGTCTTTTCGCATAGAGTCTGTCAACTAGACGAATCTATCTATCTACTTGGTGGCATCTTAAACGAAAACCACCAAGTAGCTCCCAATGGTAATACTACCTCGATATCCGATGTCTATGCTTATCATAATGGAATTTGGTCAAAAAAAGCTTCCATGCTAACGGCTAGAGCTAATTTTGGTGCTGTAGTTCATGAAGGACGTTTATATTGTGCAGGAGGTCGAACAGAAGGTCAATTAACTTGTGTAGCACTAACCAATACAGTTGAAATTTATGATCCAAAGGATGATAAATGGGTAGAAGGAAAGCCTATGAATGAGGCTCGTGAAGGTTGCGGATTAATTTCTTTAGCTGGTCAATTGTATGCATTAGGTGGCTATAATGGCAATAATGTTCTATGTAGTGTTGAAAAATATGATGAAAATAAAGGTAAATGGATTCAAGTTTGCGCTATGAAAGTTAGTCGTAGTCATGCAAATTATATTGCCTACAAAGGAGAAATATGGGCGATTGGTGGAGGTAAATTTTTTATGTATGATTATATTTGTCAATATATAAATGCCAAGTACAGAGATTTGCAAATGAAGAACTATAACTAAAATATACGAGTATTGATACTTTATCCATTCATCAAATACGACCATCGACAAAAATTGAGTATACAAACTCAACGAATAGTTTGTCCATTAGTTTAGTAAGAACGTTTGCAAATTAATTAAAAAAGTAGCACGAACTGCTAATTTGAGAATTCATCAAGGATAGCAATTTTGCAAATTAACATCTTTAAGTGCTAAAATCACTTACTGATTTGTCAGGTGCAAGCATTTACAAACACTAGCAGCTACAATAAATTGATGATTTATCAATTCATTAAATATTCGTTATATGGTTGGTTGCAAAATTATACTACTGATTTGAAGATTCATCAAGGATAGCGATTTGCTAATTCATGTCTTAAAATTAATTGCAGAATCAATTACTGACTTGTTAAGTGATGACATACACAATTACAATTCAGTAACTAGAATAGGTTTGTTAATTTGGTAAATATCTTAGCTTGTAAATGAAAATCAGCTGCCAATATCGGCTAGTAGTAAGTGCAACCGATTCATAAATGACTATTTGCACATTCACATCATCCATTTACTTCAACTTTCAACTATCCCTTCATGACTAAAGCAAATAAAGCGTTCTTGTGTGATTTATTGAGCATGAAATTGTTAACAGGAGCTTTACCATGACTTACTTGCTTAGCTTTGTTTCTCATACGTATTTGCATTAGGAGTGCGTAATATTAACTCTCTCCAATTCATTTCCAGCTAACCCTTCTTTGACTACCAACCATCTTTTAACACTTAGTAAGTCAGTTTTTAATTAATTTACAAAACTGGTAATATTATTTTTTTACATTTTATTTCGATCCTATGAAAAATAGATGAAATTAGCTTATGATTACCAAAATAAGTGATCAACAGTTAAAACTAAGATATTTAAATACAACCAAATGGATATATTATAGGTGTATCAGGACTACTACTAATAGTATAAATTTATATCGCAGATTTCACCTCGCAGAATCAACCATACCACTCTGATTTAGTTGAAAAATATGATCCTGTCCATGATAGTTGGGAATTATACCAATCACGTTCAACAACTTCGGCCCTATGGAATGCCGTTAGTTTGTCAAAATACTAATTTGATACTTAGTTTCTTAACAAGATGTAATTATAAAGTATTTGATAAAGATGTATTTGGGAGCTTAGCCAAATGCTCACGATCAATTTAAGTTTAATTAATATAATTTTTTCTTGTTTATAACTGTTTTCTTTCGTTTCTCAATATTAAGAGTCATTGGTAGTTATGTTGTATACATAAAATGTCGTATTTTGCCTATTGACTATACTATTTATGCTTTGATACGGAAGGGATGCCAAATACTTCAATTCTTGACCTGTTTATAATTTTTTATTGCGATAATAGGCATAAATTTGAATGTATAATTGCAATCTTTGTTGCTGCATTGTATTCCAGCCAGCTGCGTGTTGATTATGTACCCGTTTCATTTTAGTTTCATTACATTTGAATGCAATACTAAAAATTTCATCGATACTCATAATTATTTAAAACTTTCTACCTATGAGTATTGAGTATGATTTTTCGCTTGCTTCCTTCCTAAAAATTTTGCTAATAATTATATTACAGTTTCTTATTTAGTTTGGAATATGATTTTATACATGGTAGCATTTAACTTTATTCTATAAAGTTTGTATTGATACTCGATTATCAGCCTCGAGTTGAGTTTTCCCAGTTTACAAATAGAAAGCCACTTATTACTTATAACTTTGATGTCATTGCTGTTCAATCGATGTTTTCTTTATTCGTCATTATCAATAATTTTGGCTAACCAATTTAATTGTTGATTGTCCACCTACGTGTGAATAAACTCATAAGATCAATTTGAGATTGTATGATTTATTCTCCATTATGAGAACGAATACAAGTATATCGAATCTAAGATTTGAATGTTTATTCCACTCGTTCTGTTGATTAGTTTACGGTTTCCATTACATTTACACTATACAGGACATATGGTGCTATTACTTATAGTTAAGATAATCTCTCTATAATCCAGTTTAGATGGCCTAAATGTAATCTTAATTATTTTACCGCTGAGTATTGCTCATAACGATCATCGGATGATACTATACTTACTATATCGGAAGTTAGTGATAGATTAACGTCTATCTTCTTGGTTATTGAGAGCCCGAATAGTGAATATTACTGTTGAACCATTATTACGAAATCCCGACAGCTATATATCGGGATTGGATATTATTATGGCGTCTATCTGCTGATAGATAGAGAAAATAATCATGCTATTGGCTATAAATCCTATGCTACTGTATATAAGTATATATATATATATATATATATATCCAATCTAAGGTTTAAATGTTTATTCAACTCGTTCTGTAGATTAGTTTACGGTTTCCATCACGTGTACACTATACAGGACATATAATGCTATTACTTATAGTTAAGATAATCTCTCTATAATCCAGTTTAGATGGCCGAGATATAATCTTCATTATTTTACCGTTGATTATTGTCACAACGATCATCGAATAATACTATACTTACTATATCGGAAGTTAGTGATAGATTAACGTCTATCTTCTTGGTTATTGAGAGCTCGAATGGTGAATATTACTGGTGAACCATTATTATGAAATCCCGACAGCTATATATCGGGATTGGATATTATTATGGCGTCTATCTGCTGATAGATAGAGAAAATAATCATGCTACTGGCTATAAATGCTATGCTACAGCTTGGTTTGTCTTCATTTTGAGCCAATATATTGTACATGTGACAGAAAATGGTTGACATAAGGTACTGTTTGAGTATCCAGATAATTTTAGTATAGGCGCCAAACGTACAAGCTGGGCGCTCCGGGAGCCTTCATAGACCAGGCTATACCACTTATCTTCCATATTGTTACATGTATTTTGGAGCAATGTTTATGATAGTCTATAGTAGTAGCCAGTACAGACACCATAAACAGCGAGCTAGACGAGGACCAGGTCAGACAGGAGCTCGTCTCCATTAGCAACCCCATCAATCATGGCCGAGTATCTTTGCAATCAAGGCTAGAAGTATAGCTTGTACTTTAGTTAATGTCTCCAAAGGATGAGCTCCTGAATTGGGAATAGTATCGTTATTGTAGCTGAATTCATTATTGGAGACGATAGGCACAGTTATGGTGCACATTTCCTCCTCGATTGGTTTTAAAGTCATTGCTAACTGTGGTTACCTCCCTGGAGCTCTTTTCTCAGTTCTCCCTCGACATGCAGTTGCTCGTTGCTATAGCCAATCTTGCCATGATGGCCTAGGAACTTTAAAGGAGAATGCAAAACAAATTCTAACTGCTGCACTTCAAGCGGTAGCACCGGAGACGCTGGTTCAAAGGGCAATCCGACGATCTGCATGTAGCCAATACTTGCATGTAGGCGATGCTACTTATCCTTTGCAAAAAAATGTTTACATCGCTGCTTTTGGTAAAGGTGTCTATCCCATGGCTAAAGCAGTTACCTCTATTGTACATGATCATCTAGTCGATGGTATTGTTAGTGTACCAGCTGGTAGCTCAACCCCAGCTCTATCGAATTTACAGATAATTCAGGGTGGAAGGAAAAACTTACCAGATTCCAATTCTATGATGGCGGCGGATTCCATCATGAAGATGGCCAATTCTCTGGGTCAGCATGATATACTATTAGTGTTGATGACAGGAGGTGGTTCAGCGTTATTTCCATTGCCAGTACATGGTAAAGTTCTGTAATATTCTGCTTATTAAAACCGTATAGAGCAATGAACGATGCTAACCTACTATAGCAGTTCAAATCTTTTCAGTATTATACTGGATTAAATCTGTCGAATATACTCGTGCATTTGTTCCATGATACATGTTAACCTCATACAGTAGTTCAATTCATTTCTATTAAGTATTCTAACATCTATATACAATTCTGCAAGAGTTAGTGATAACCTAATGCAGCAGCTTAAGTCTTTACAATACTACACTTGAATGGAGAGTGATAATCCTAACACAGCTGCTGAATTCTTTTTAGTACTATACTTGGTAAAATTAGATTTTGCAATGGATAGTGATAACCTAATATAGCAATCATTACGACTTAGGTGTAACATTGGATGAGAAATTGCAAGCGATTAAAGCTATTGCCAATGCGGGTGGTGATATTTTTCAACTGAACACGATACGAAAGAATCTGTCTGCATGCAAGGGTGGAAAATTAGCATTGGCAGCCAATCCAGCCAAGGTAAGGAGCTATTACTTTCCAGGCAAATCACATTGCGATTAAAGATTATCACTAGTATCAATATTTTAAATTATATCTCAATCTGTTGACTACGCATAATACCAGGTAATAAGTTTTATCGTCTCCGATGTTATTGGCGACAACCTTGAAATTATTGCTTCGGGGCCAACAGTGAAGGACTCATCATCGCACAAAGACTGCCTCACAATCATAAAAAATTTATCTATTGATAAAAAAATACCAACTTCAGTCCTCAATTTATTTTCTGGCAAAACATGCTCTGATATAGCTAAGAACAAGCAAACCTTTAATAATGTTCAGAATGTTTTAATCGGATCAAATAAAGTAGCAATCCATGCTGCTTTTGAGAAAGCATCACAGTTAGGATTTGATGCCACCATACACTCTACCACTGTTTGTGGAGAAGCAAAAGATGTAGGAAAAACATACTGCCAGATGCTATTGGAGAACCAAAGACTATGCCGTAAAGTATGTATTCTCAGTGGCGGAGAGACAACTGTTAGGGTAGAAGGAAGCGGTGTTGGAGGAAGAAACCAAGAGTTTGCATTGTCAGCTTCAGTTCAAATGTTTGAAAGTAAGTTAGCCAGCAATCTGACTGACAAGAAATGCCCAGCAGTCTTACTTAGTGCCGGAACAGATGGACAAGATGGTCCAACACCAGCAGCAGGTGCTTTTGCCTATCCCGGCCAACTCTGTGACAATAATATTAATACAGCCAGACATCATTTGGCCAACAATGATTCGTATACTTTCTTTTCCACTTTAAATAATGGTGATGATCTGATAGTGACTGGATTAACCAACACAAACGTCATGGATATTCAAATAATGCTTATCGATGAACCAACTACATAGTGGATTGTTGTAATTTCAAGATGAATGGTTATCGCTTATGTTAAAACTAATGTCTATACTTTAACAAATGTTTCTTCCCCGTTCCTTAATTCAACTGTAAATTTTAATGAAAACTATGATGGTTGATATAATTGATTTGATTGAACATAAAAATAGATTAGTTTCATTTCCTTAAGTAATGGTTTACTACGAAGATCGATTACGTGTTTCTATTTAATATGTACTAAAACGACAGATTACTGTGACTAAATGTATCTATCCTTCAAATTTATTGTTGGTAAGCTGAGCAACGATGTAAGTTCTATTATACCGCAATATAACCTGTGATCTTGTATTTATATTTATTTTCAATTTCGGTTGCCAATTAGCCTATATGGCTATTCAAGAGAATAGAATCTTGATTGTAAATGGCTTACAATCTATAGTCAATTCGTGCTAAAATAGCTTTTGCTTTTGCTAATCTATGGAGCAAGAAATGCTTGTATATTCGAATAAATTACTTACTTTCAATACAGCGTACACTTAAAAGATTATGTATATTAATATTAAGTAAATTGGCCTCTGTAATCATATATCGATGATAGAGCTATTGTTACTAGATGGTACACAATCTATCTTCCATTTGATAACTATTCTAATCAAAAATCGCGAAGTAGCCTTATTTCCTTTATGGTAGGATGCAAGTACAAATTCGATTAGTTCTCCAATAAATGTGACTCCAAATTCCTCCCTAAAGAAACAAGTATGCTGCAACAATATTTGAGTCTTTACGAGTGATCAACTCAATTTTTAAACCTCTAAATCTTCTCGAAGATCTGAATTTGCTAGTGATTTGTCATGCAGTAGCATATGTAATACTGATCGTTTACCAATTATAGCTGAAATAGTTCATAACTGTTTTTCAGGATGATTTGACAGTGCTATATTATCAACTCCATAGATTAGTCAAAAGGTTATAATTCGAAAGCACATAATGTCATTGATTCCCATCGCATTACTATAGGTAAGATTTTTTTGATAGATGCTATACTAAGAATTCACTATCTAAGCCTAAAGAGAATCGAAGTTCAACTTGATGGAAATTAAGACATGGCACGAAATCACAGAACCTTAAATGTAGCATTATAATAAAAAATATCATATAAGTCAGGAATTACCAATTGTTCGTAGTCAATCTATTATAAAGCTTTTTCTAAGAACTTTCTTCGTTAAGCAAAGATGATAGGTTAAAAATTTTAATGAAATTCAAATTAATTCAAGCATGATTTGAGATAGCTTGTCTGCAGTAACGAGAATATTCTATGTTGTATTTATATTATGACAGTTCTAAAATCTTCATCATGATCGGATTCTATTAATTGCTAGTGTACTCTTACTTTGATATTAAATATATTTTCAATTTGTAAATGCAAAGGATGAAAACTAAATCGGAATAATATTTTTAGGTGAAAATTAACGTGTAAAAATGCAAATTGCCATTTTAAGTTTACATATAAATATAAAATAGTGTCATTAAATTAGTGCATAACCGTAAGATGAAAATAGCGGAAAATATACAGTATCGTTCCAATATTAAGAAGTAAAATTTACAGGCAATTTTCTACTTCAGTTACGATATATTCCAGATTTATGCCTTAATTATATACTTGAAATATCCCATTATAAATCTATTGCATAATTTACAGTATGTCAGTAAGTTGATAATAATAATAAGAAGAAGAAATAGGATAATATATAGCTATCTCAGTCTTGCTAGTTGCTCGAGACCTTTACAGTACAATTTACAAATTTTTAATTTATAAATTGGTTTGGAGCGAGCTCGATTTTACAACTTTAAGGTAAAATGGTAGAAATAATCTATAAATATCATTATGACTTACAGTTTATTCTATACATATCATGAAATTATTCGACTAGAGACTAATAAGAACAGAAACATAATGTCATATGTAAAATACATGAATTCGAAGTACTAGAAAAAATATCAGTAATAAAGAAATAGTATTATGAAATACTTAATGTCGCATGAATTAAACAATATTTTTAAGGCTTATATATTATTTAATTTTTAATAAGTACGATTTGAAGTAGGCTTTGGCCTACTATAAGTAAGCATAGCTCCATCAGGCAATATCGGCTTTGTGGGTAAAGAACGTGTTCTGCGTTGTTGCGATGTAGGAAGAGAACTTTCTCGTTCTAGATTTTGATTAGAATATGTGGGCCTGTAATGGGCAGATTTAGCTCTTCTTACCGCTAGTACATTTGTATCACCTATTAAATAGGAACAAATAAGAACTAAATATTTTATTTACAGGATCTTAAAATTCTTGAAATTAAGGAGGAAAGTTTTTATAACATTACCCTTGCAACTTACATGCCAATTTTTCTTCTTTTTCCTTCTGAGCTTTCATAACTGATGATAAAACATCATTTTTATAACTTCGCCATTGATAATCGATGCAGTACAACTCAGCTAAGGATTCATCTGTCGGTACTTTATGCAGCAATTTTTCTGCTTTACTTAATGTGATTTTATCTGTCAATAATCGAAATAGAGATTTTGATATTTTAGTGACGACACAACCACTTGATACAAGAGCCAAGGATATAGTGTTTTCGTCAAGGATAGCATCCAGACCCTAATTTAGGTAGAATAATATTATAATTTGACCTCAAATATTTACCTAAAAGGTTAATTTCAAAATAGTAAAAAGTTATTACGATAATTTAGAGTCTATGTCAATTCAGGATATTGAACTAGGTCATAGATCTAAGTTTACTTACGAAACAGCTTTTCTCTGATAGTGAACCAATATTAACATAAACTTGAACGTTTTTGGAATTCGAATTGCGCTTGCTGTGGTTTAAATAACGATGTATATTTTTCTTAACTAAGCCTACAGAGTTTTCAATCTGCTTATCAATATAGTAGTACGATGCGTTATAGCCTATTAGCTCATTTTTGACTTCATCCCTGAATGTTTCCGACTGCAATTTAAAATCTCTACTTTTTGATTGTAAGCTAGGTAAATGAATTTAAAATAGGGTGAAGATGTTTAGAAAGTTAAACTGAAAATCAAAACGAAGTATTACGAAACTACATAATAATCTAGATGAGAATTGGATACAACTATCTTCATTAGCCTTAAATTGGATAAGAAATAACAAAATATATTGAGTTAACCTTTTACTCGATAGCATTTGAGTCTTTTGGCTGTTTTGAAATGTGGAAATGGATTGGGGCCTTTTAGGATTGATTAACTCGTCTGGACGATGAAGTATTGGAACATGCTTGATATAATGGGCTATAGATTCTTTCCTTCTACTATTACTTGTATCCAAGTAAGCTATTTCGAGAGGCCCTTCATGAATCCACGATGGTCTTGAATTTAAGGACATTTCTCTATTTTTGGAGCTGCCAAAACGGATAGAATTGGCTCTAAATCTTCTGTCACTGTCTCTTCTAGTATGCAGATCCTCTAGTGCTATAAACCAAACATGTATGGATATATTAATTTGGTAAAGTTGCCTATTGTTAGTACATTCTGCTTTCCTATTACTGTATTAGTAGTACATGAACTCTCGACTACTGCAGATATAGTTTTATATTCGCTTTACTTCCTAATGAACTGCTATATTAATGTTAATAAATAAACCTTGGCAAAAATTTTTATTCTTGCAGTAAACTTTCTCTTATACATGAAAAATGTCATGGACCAGACAGTTTTTATATTCGGTTATACTGTAAAAATCATTTATGTAATAGTATATTTCTTAGGTAGAAGGTGTAATAGTCAGGATATTTTTCAGATCTCGTTATACTTGGGTTTGTCGTTTAATGACAGTTTTTCCCTGATAAACCCATTTAAAAATTAAATAATGATAGAATATAGTCTCGTTGATACTATATTCCATAAAGTATTACGTGTAATTTTACTAAACTAGCAGTTGCATATAAAATTATTTAACGCTACTGTAGATAAAAAGATGCTGACTTCATATTTAATATGTATAATGTCCTTCATAAGTAGTTACATCATCACTTACTATATTGCCGTCTTGCATTGTTCATTCCCTGTTCATTTGAATGATCAATAAGTTGGCTCAAATTAAGTAATCTTAATTGTTGACACTTGCCCTAAAGATGTAAGAAAGACAATATTTAAAAGTTGTATTACTACAGTAAGTAGTTGACTTCTAATTATTCCTTGACACTTATAACTAATGAAATGGATAAGTGATAGAATTGTTTGTTGATACAGCTTGCATTGCATACGTGCAATTTGATAGTCTTATATCATACATTGTTAAGGAAAGCTTCCATACATCAATTCCAAAGGAATTAAATCCAATCAACAACCATATAGATTAAAAATAATTTAAACTAGATTTCAAGCTATTAGAAGCATCTAACATTGAACTGCATTCCATGCAAATTAATTGAAGCTATTAACGCAAATCATGGATAGAATGATTTTGACCAAAAGAAATCTTTACGGATATACTACCGTATAGAAAACAGAATAGAATTTATTAAACTACTTAATGATGTGTTATATCACGATCATTTCAACCACAACAACGCTATAAATCAGCTGGAAACGGTACGCTTTAGAGACTGAGATTTGATGTTACACACTACTTCGATTAAGACTACTTTTAAACCTCTACTGTATACGTGAGTGTCTATTAATTCTTCTGCTAGCTGTAAAAATATTTTAGTACAGTATTCCATCCATTTCATCAAATTGATCTTGTAGTTTAGTTGCAAAACTAGTAAAATCCTGATAGGATATCAGGGGCAGTAGCGTATTTAATCTGTAATTTACATCAAGAGGTAATATGGCAGAAAAGTCCAATATTGTAAAATGAGTATTTAATAGAATTTATATATAGAAATTTTCCTAAAATTTACATTGGGAATTTATATTGATACTGCTGAAGATTATTATTAAATTAAATAACACTACAGTATAGGTTGGATACTGAGAATTACCGGTTGGGAAAGAAAATATAGCTTAATAAATACCTTTAAGATAAATACGATCCATTCTGATTGCTTAGAATCCTCTACGATAACTTGATTGGAATAGTACTCGATTAAGTCATGATTTCTTAGTAAACACTTTATATTATTGTCAGACCAACTCGAAAAGAGATCCATTTTTCTAATATGAATTAAAAAGAGTTGGTTATATACGCGTATTACCCGCAAGTGATAATCTCATGTCACTAATATTATATTAAAAACTTGTAAAATAATGTGTGGTCACTGTGATCTTTGGATAAAAACGATCAGGGCTATTTTTTGAAAAAAATATTTATGACATAAAATTATCGAGTGGAGAATTTTTTAAGATACTTTCAGTAGCACAGTTCAATTCATGTACCTGAAATATTTATACTGAAAATCTTTTTCCCTCTCTAAATGTTTATCTATATCGAACTTGTTGTAATCATCACGATCAATAACTAATAGATCGGTAAGTTCCAAGCAAACCGCCGTATGCTTTCTCCTGCCGCCTCGAAGAAAAGCTGAATCCTAAAATGGAATGTTATAAATATAAGAAATAAGTTTATAGCTATACCAATACTAAGGTTTTGTTGCATCGATCAGTAGTGTTTTTAAATGAAGCATAGACACGGAAATAAAAAAGAAAAGCACTGTGATGGAGTTTTAGAATTAGCATTACAGTAATGTTTGGAGTGAAAATGAGCATTATTATTTAAGAATCTTGAATAGCTTAGGATTATGATCAATTGGTATAAAGTACCCCAAAACCTTCTCCACGACGTAATACTTGAAATCGTTGCAAAGCGTTTTCCGCTTCCAGATTTAATAAACAGACAGAACCAGAAAATACCATGTAATAACTTCCACTATAATGCCCAAGTTTATAAATGATTCTTCCTCGTTGAAACCTTGAGTTAGATCAGTTTTAATTGAGAATTTAAGTAAGAATAAGGTTATGCATGAGCTGTATAATTAAGACAATAAAAATTCATTCGAGATGCAAATATAATTTAAAGGGAAATTAATAGGACTAAGAAGCTTCTGTTTCTTCATCTATAGATTTAGAGAACTATTGTAATATTAAAATTTATGGTGCCTTATAAATGAGAATAGAATTTGCTGATTATATCTTACCTTTCATGTCGAACAATTTTACATAACTTATCCTGCATGGTTGTTGTAAAATGGCCAAAGGATGGTAGAGGTCGTAGCATAGCTCGAATCATAGAGACATGATGGGAGCTACGCTGTTCAGCAGATAATCGAGTAATCTTAATAATATTCTTAGGGATGGTAAATATCTTTCGGACCTTATAATCTCCAATGTTAAATCGAGGTAAAGTTTCAAAACTAGACAATTGATCAGTCGACTCACTACTTGGAATAATTCCTTGTTCTTCAATATCCTGAAGATATTGCTCATCACAATTGATAGTAATAGCTCGCATTACTTTAAGGATTAGATTAATCTGAAAGGAATTCATGAATAATTCAATTTTTAATAGTTAAGATTATTTTTCACTCGTATCTAAACGCAGAGGAAATACACTGCAGCAGTAAAATTAATATGTGAAAATTGAAGTCTAGAAATGGTTAAAATAATCTACTTTAATAACAATTTTAGGGAATATTTCAAATTTCTATTTAGGGAACTATAAAGCGTTCTTTTACTCCTACATAAGTCATGGTCTAGTTGACTTAAAAACTATGAATTACAGAAATTTGCCTCACAAAGATTTCTATAACTAGATTGGGTAATGCTGATTTGTGTTGATCTAGAAGGCAAGTAAAAACTAATGTTACAATGACTGAAATTGACCTTAATGTTCAAGTAATAATAAATTTGACGTAATTACTTCATTCTTTTATATCTCAAATAATGATTGATACAAAATCAGACAATCTATTTATTGACAGTAGGGAGTCTTTCTATAATCTATATAAAAGTGCATCAATTTCTTTAGCCTTATTGATTTCTTCGACATAATACAGTACGTAAAAAGGCTTAATGGTGATTATTTAGCTTGGTTAGAATGAAAGGATATTGTTTAGCGAAGGTGACAGATAAACTACGGCATTAATATGATTTGATTTAATATTACTAAATTAACCCTATACTAGCTCATAAATGGAAAAATTGGGATAGCCAAAGCATCTAGTTATAAGAACAAGATTAGCTTAAGGTTATCGCCCATCTATAGAGCAAGAATGAGAAATTAACTAGCTGATGATCTAGATTGAATGTTATGGAAAGACATAAGTATTGAATTTTAATTACATATTATCAAAATAAAATTGGTTTAAAGTTGAATAATAGCTCAACTATATTCAGCATTCCTGATTTATATCGATATATCTAAATCTATCATATGCTAATTTATAAATGAGAGAATCTATCATAAGCTACCTTATAGGTGAAGCAATTCAAGTAACGAGAAAATCACATGAATAATGTTAGCTTAAGATTATGGTCCTACCACAGAAACAGGATTAATTAGGACCGAATTTGGAATTCGAGGGCATTAATGGGCTTTAATAAGCATTCATTTCTAACATAGCAACTGTTTCTAACGTTCGTAACAATCTCTTTACTCATCGTTTGGCCCAATTCTCATAAACTAATTTAGTAAAGTATTCATTTCCAAAGGATGAATAATTAATTATGCCGATATGAATAGGATCCATAAGCACAACAAAATTTTTGCCTTTATATAGACTGATTCATAGCAAATTAGCCTTCTTTACCAAAAAAGACGTATATAGTTATGTCATAAGCGAATAATAACGGAGTTGGTAGAAAAATCTTACTGTAATCATAGTTGTTCTGTTCAATCCATGCATAAGATAAATTAATTATTAATATAAACAGTTCATAAATGTATATCTGATCCAATTAGTTAGACGTTAATGTCACATTTTCTACTACTGCTATGATTTTCATTACGAGACTGCCTACTCATTATAGATTAATTGAATCAAACCTTATGTATAATTCTTTTGAAATGGTCTATTGGCAATGTGGCTCGTACCTAAAATATGAAATGTAAAATATTCATAAATAGCATTAATATTTGATTAAAAAGCCATATTATAACATACCGTAAATGAAAATTATGACTGATTAATCTACAAATTTTTTACTATCATTCATTCCTTAAACATATCGAAAGTCAGTCAAGAATTTGATACTATTTTATTATAATTAAATAATTATTGAGATCTTTTAACAACGTCATGAGGTTTGAAGTCTAGCCACTAAGCTAATTTAATTTCAATACAGAGTAGCGAAAATTGAATGCCTTCTCCTAACATATCGTGGTAGTGCTACTATCGATTAACACACACCAAATTAGCTTGTATAAAATATCATTGACTCAAACTAGTTCTTTCAAGCCTAGTCAATGTAAGGCTTTTGGCTAGAGAGAATAAGATTCGCATTCCAAGATGTATTGATGAAACTATTAATAGGATAGGATATATAGAGAGGTTATGGAATACGCGTATAGATGAAAAGAAATTTACAATTATGCCAGCATACAGTACACTAATAATTATGCTATTAAATAGCTAGGGATTTTACTTATCAATGCAAGTATTCGTATGTGTTAAGAACTGTAGATGAAATAACATCTCATAAATTATACCCGTAAAATAGTAAGGAATTCCGTTTATCTTCTTCATTATTCAAACTGCTGTTAATACAAATTCCATTCAGTTATAAGTAAAACTAACGGATATGATTCATCATCGCCTTAAGATTATACGCGATTTCCATATAAATTATATATATGAGCACAAATTTATTGAACTAGTTAAGTATTAATGTCCACAGCTCATTGTATCCAACTCATAGCTATAGAAAGAGTAAACCTCTTTGATAAACTAATTTTAATACATATAAATCTACATAATAACACGTTAATCTATCGCGATACACCTTAATTGGACGGCAGCACTAGATATTAGGTATAAACAGATGCGTATGCGCATTTATGGATATATAGGTACAATTAGTTATACCATGACTACACAACTCCATACTAACGACGTAAATGTAGATTTTTAATAACGTTATTCACGGTAATAAATTTTCTTTAATAGAGAATTTCATTCATAAAGCTAGGCATGACTGCATATGAAAAGAAAGACAGCTAATAAAAAGAATATAACTGTACGGTAATCCTTGCTACGACCTAATAAAGTTTAAGGACTTGAAATTAATACAGTTGGCATCGGTATGTAATAAAATCTTGATTTAATGGCAATTATTTCACTTAATAATTTCAATGGTATTTAAGAAGTGATAGAGCAAAATCGTTTAGTCTACGTAAAATTTAAAGGCAAAACGATCCTTGTTGATAGCGGCCCAATCGCTGATTTTCAATCTTGGCTAGTATAGAATAGTGAGATAGCATCGCAGCCTACATCTCTGACCTATATTAACTTACGATCGATTGAATTGAGCATCTAGCGGCCTAATCGCTGACTCAATTATAAGTAGGCCAATAAGGAATAACGAAACTGCATAGCAGCGTCGATCTCTGATCTACAGTATATTAACTTCGATAGTTGAGCCTTAAAATCGGCTTATTTTCTAAGTATTAGAATTTCTCAAACAGGAAATAGGGTCAAATCAGTCGTTGATGGATTGCAATTTGTTAAAACTTTGATGTAAGAAATTTTATATTGTCTTTTTAAGATAAAATAAATATTGGTATGTCTTATATAGGAAATAATCAACTGATTTTTCTGAGTATCGGAATTTCTCAAATGGTAGATAGGGTCAAATCGATCGTCGATGGATTGCAATATGCCAAAAATTTGATTTAAGAAATTGTATCGCATGTTTTCTTTCAAGGTAAAACAGATACCTCCTTCTGTTAAATAGGAGACAGGATCGAATAAATAGTCGGTGGATTCCAATATATCATAACTTTGATCTAACAAATTGAACCTTGACCTTTTAGAAAAAAACGGATATCTAGATCGCCTTAAAAGGAAAATGGATCTAATCGATTGTCGATAGATAGGCAGAATTTTGACCTAAGAATTTACCCTTTTTGCGCGATAAAATGGATATCAAAACGGTTAAAGAAGAAATGGAGTTGAATCAATTGTCGATAAGTTGCAATATTTCCTATCTTTGATCAAAAGAATTTTAAGCTTTCCTTTTAGCATCATGCAACAAATATTAGAACGGCTTAAATAGAAGATCGGATCGAATCTATTATCGATAGATGGTAATATGTCAAAACTTTAATCAAAAAAATTTCAAGTTATCCTTTTGGCTCCATAAAAAATATTGGAATGGCTTAAATAAGTGATAGGATCGAATCCGTTGTCGGTAGATGACGATATATTAAAATCTGAATCCTACTTCTATGGCTACGAGAGCAGCTTTTAAAACACGTAGTAACAGGTCAACTTGAGCGATCGTAATAAACATCAATCATATTCGTTGTTGTCATCGAATTTGATTGATTACTCTTGCTAAACGTGTTTAAAATCGAACTAGACTTAACAACTAATCATTAAATTATTTTCAATTGTTTGATTTTTACTTGATTAGAGTCTAAAATCAATCACCAAAGGTATTGAACTATAGCCTTCTTTGTTATTGGAGTTGTTAACAAATGACGGGTAATGATCAATTTTGGATTGGAAAAGTTCAAATTAAATCCCTCTAATTTAGATAAAACTGGTTAATTGATTTAACGCTAATCGAAGGAAATTGTTCGATCAATAGCCGAAAGAAATAATTGATAGAAATGCAGGCATGAGCAAAAGCCGGATTGACATTAAAAGCTATAGTGCATTTCATGATAGTAAACTCAAATGATTAGGATTTCTTACGCGAAAAGATTCAAATTAGCTTCAGTTAAAATGATTAAGCCAAAAAGGTATCAAATAGCTTGGTATAAATAGTCAGAGAATGGAAATAAAATAATAAATTCGCAAAGTAAAGGATAAATTATGTTACTGTAAATTGCCCATTTTAAAAAAGTTACCAGCCACTATTAAGTCCATATGACAAAGGTAAATGAAAAGATGAATGTCAAGACGGCTATTTATAACACTAATGCAAAGATTGAACCTAAAAACTACTTTTCCACATTTAGATTTCTAAGGTAGAGAATTACAGGAATTCTGCTAGAGTTCTATTCCTACTTACATTAGACATCGATAATGCTCGAATTTGATGGCGTCGCCATAATTGTTGTCGTAATTTTGCCAACTGCAGTTTTGAAGAAATGACACTTTTAACATTATTTCCACTTTCTGTAGAACTGGAATGGCACGGGTTGTCCATCCTTTAACTTTATGGAATGGCAATATTGAAATCTAAGGCTGCCAGATAAACTAACTTGAAGCGTTCCTTCCCCAATATTTGTTTAGGTTCAGCGGTTACAAACTTATTTATTTCGCTAACTTGCCCGTCAATGATAGA